TTGTGCACCCCGTGCATCATCTGTGTTCGCATTTTGGCCTATTACAGGTCACGTACTATATATATCCCGTATATTTTTCTTTATTCATTTATATAATTATAAGATTTGATAAATAGCCTTAATTTTGTGCATCCCGTGCATCGCACGGGATCTGTACTAGTTATTATTATTACCGATCATAATCGTGGTGTCCATTAATTATTCAGCAGACGTGGCTCTCATGATGCATAATTAACTTTTTCTTGATTAATACATAAGTTAGGTTGAAAATTGTTAATTTTCTTCCTTCGTGGTTTTCTTTGATATGTGAATTCCCATCAAGTTAATGTTTTAACTTACGGGTGTATCCAATTGAAATTTTAAAAGGACTTTTTAAGATTTTTAGAATTCTGGTGTATTCAATTAAAATTTTTAAGAATTTTTAAAAATACTGTTTGTATATAATCGAGAATTTAAAATATTTTTTAAAAGTCTCTAAAAGTCTCAAGGTATTGAATTAAAACTTTCTGAGAGATAAGTCATCATGTATTCAAATTTCAAAGTAGAAAGAATTTGTGAGATTTTTAAATTAAATTGTGAGACTTTTAAAGACTTTTGTAACAAAATTACAAAGACAAAGTCCAAGCAGAAATTTCATCAAAATCGGTGAAATTTTGCTCTTCACTCTCTTTCTTTCTCTAACACAACTTTATATTACCACTTTCGTACTCATTTTATTTTGATATTTTGTATTTTTTTTATTTTAATTACGCATATTTAACGTGATCTTTTATTTTATATGTTTTTTATTATGGTTATTTTATGTGTGTATACCAACAATTTTTATTTTTTATACAAAATTTTGAAATCTAAGAGAAAACATATAAAAAATTCCCCTCAGAATCAATAAAAATTAAAAATGAAAGCTTGAGTGTCCTTAATAATAGAATTATAAATGACATATTTAGCAAAAATAGACAAACGTATAATAATATTTTTTAAATATTTAGTTTCATAAAAAATACTACTACTATATAATAAATTTGACTCGTTTAGCCATTAGACTTTGAAAACTTATAATATACTTTCAAGTGTCAAGGTATTAAATGCATATGATTAGTTTGACTATAATCTATATCTATATAAAAAGAATTAACATTTTTTAAAAATAGTAGGTCAAATCTTAATTAGCATTAATGATATTCCATACTTAGTAACTTTTTGTTTTTCAAAAAAATCAACATTAAATACTACCCTAAATTATGGTATTTGTTACTTTTCTTTCAAAAAATCGTGCTACCTTAAAGAAACAATATTACATAACATAAATTTTTGGCTAACTAAAGTGTTATGTTTGGAAACTATTATATTTTAATTAAAACTAATTACGGTTGATTTAATCTTGAAATGGTACAACAATTTTATTTTTTAATGTGCACCCTAAATTTTTATATTTTGTGGATTTAATTTAGGTAAATTTCGATTGATTCAAAAGTCAATTTTCTTTTTTATTTTTTTTTTTAAAAAAATTGAATAAAATAAAACCAAGAATTTCAAATTAGGCAAAATATTATCACATATATCATTTACTAATTGCAACAAATCAATTATTTATTATAAAAATCGGATTGCATAGCCGGCATGACAATTTTGTAAAAGTCAAAATTCATTCATTTTTTTTATTAAAAAAATCTATTTACCATACAATCGAGAATTTTGAATTAGACAAAACACTATAACATGTATCTTTACCTAATTGTAGCAGATCATGCTTATTAAAAAAAATCAGATTACATAATAATCGGGCCAAATTTCAAATTAAAATTTAAAAATCTATTATCATTTGATTACTATTTTCTTTAACTCGGACTTTTTTTAAACATAAAACAAAGTCATATAATATTAATTTGAAATTCAAAATGAAATCAGATTGTAACATCCTAAAAATTTGGGTTTTGTTTAATTATCTAGAATACAAATTTGAAATTGATTGAATACACTTACAAAATAAATAATGATTTCATACACTTACAAAATATCGTATATATTATGCTAAATAATTTAATTGATTTATTTAAGACTATCTACAATCTTAATATAATTTGTGGCGATAGACAATGTACCAAAAGACCAAACAAATAACTTTGTGTACAATGATGTGTTTAATAATATATAACGTTACATTGTGTTTCATTTCAATATATGTATTTTACGTTCTTCCAATCATCCAAATTTAACAGCTTACCTTAATAAAACTAGTTCGTGCATCGCACGGGTACCACACTAGTATTAACTGCAAAAGTTAGTGATTTACTTAAATATTGAAAAAGAAAGGGAGTGGATATAAAAACTGGTTTTCCTATGGAACCATTGGATGGTTCGACTTATGAATACACATTGAACACGTGTCAATACATAAAGTTATGGATGACTTCATAAAGAACCATATGATGGCTCCATAACATTTGTGATATAAATGCATCATGCAAATCAGAGTTTAGAGGTGATTGATCAATGAACTTTAAATATTTTTACCACAGTTAATTCTACTGGTAATCATATATATATATATATATATAAATAAACTATTATTAATTATATGTATGTATATTACATCTAAAATAATAGGTTATATAACTAAAATATCACCTTCAATAAATTTAGTATTAGCAAAAATGAATAATACAATTATAAATTATTTTGCTTATATATGAATAACTATATACATTGTATAAAATATAATGAATGTAAGTTTTACAATTTTAAAGAGTTGTGACCAATTAGTTAGTTGTAAAATATTAAATTATTAATTATTATAGCAATTGTTCAAGCGATTTTAAAGGGTATGTTGTACCATTATAACCAATTAGTCATCTAAAAATTGTTTAATAAGGTAAAAATAAAAGAATAATATTTATTTTAGAGTAAATATTTTGTATATACCTTTTAATGTGAATTTATAATTAGTTAATATCAACAGTGATTACTATATGATTGAATAATTGCAAAAATAAATATTATTATACTTAATTAATATAAAATGTAATGGTTTGTTTTATAATTGAATGAAAAAAATGGATGGAAAAATTACATTAAGTTAATACTAATAGTGATTATTAAATGATTGAATAATTACAAAAATATTATTTTGCTTAATTAAGATAAACATATAGCGGTTAGTTTTACAATTAAATGAAAAAAATGGAAGAAAAATAACATTAAATAAATAGTACTCCCTTCTATTTTTAATAAACGATGTTTTAAGAAGTTGCACAATCTTTTTTTTTTTTGAATAATAACTTTTATTAATGAGGATAGAGATGAATGTTTTGAGAAAAAAATGAATAGTGATTATGAAAACTTTGCGGCCAATAAGCTAGCGGCGCTGGCTACTGGAGTTCTGGTTGGATTACATCATCTTAGTTCCCCGCCGCAAGAGCTCGGCCATTGGCTGAGTCATGATATCTTGGGCGTGGCTCGCCCACGTCGAGTGCTAGTCTAGTCCACCTTAGGCTTCAGCCTCCTTTATTTTACAAAAAAAAAGACATAATGTATTTATTAGTTAAATATGATAATAATAGAAAAATATGTACAAAAGATCAAAAACGTCATTTATTCAGTAAATTATTGTTAAAGCAAGAATGACATTTAAAAAAAAGTAGGAGGTGGTATATAATATCATATAGATTTTGATGTGATAAACTTGCTTAGTTTTGCTATAGAGCCATCGGATGACTCGATTTATGAAGTCATCGACACTTATTCACCGATAGTGTATTGACAATAAATACAATTTGAACAAGTGTCAACACATTAAGTGGTGGATGGTTCCATAAAAAAACTATACGATGACTCCATCGAATTTGTGTAAACTTGCTTACCCAAACAAAAATAAGGTTTTGTCGCCTGGTGAATAATTTAGGCTACAGTTATGGTATAACTATCAAAACCACTCAATATTCCATTTACCATCACAATCACATTATGCATTATTATTATACAAAACATCATTTTTCCTTTAAAAAAATAATATCCTCTTTTTTCTCTAGGACTATGGTCTTATTATTATTATTATTATTATTATTATTATTATTATTATTATTATTATTACTGTTATTATTATTTTTTTATTTTTTTTTCAAAATTTACAATAATTGTTTCTGTTGACATTTGCAGTTCTCTGCAAATGAAAGAAACTATAACTAAATGCATTCAAATCCGAATCCAAAGAACATTAAGGGATGGGCCCATCAGCACATTTAGTGGGTCCCTTTTGAGCATTTCTTTTGTGTATTAATGAAAAGCAGAGAAAATCAAAATACTGTAAAAAAAAACAGTCTTTGGATAGAGAAAAAATTACAGAGGAGGTATTGATGTGAGTGACAGTAGAGTTCTTTTCCTTTTCAGAGGGTTGAATTGCAGAGGTAAGGGAAAGAAAAGAAAAG